TTGATGCATTGTTCGCGTTAATTTTACGCAACACGATGCGTAGCGCAACGGCGTGCGGCGCGGTCTTTTCCTCCGGTGGTCGCAGGTTCGATTCCTTCTCCTTGCGGCAATAGGATAATTTTTTGGTTCCAGCGCGCGGGCTTTCTGGCCCGCATACGGCCCGCGCGCGGCCCGCGCTTCCCTCTGAGTCCAGCCCGCGCCAAGCCCGATCTAAGCCCGCGTTCCAGTTTCACTTGCGCACGGCCCAGTTTCACTTGCGCACGGCCCGCGTGTTGGCCCAGCTCCTTCTTATGGCCCAACAGCGATGAGATTTCGGCCCAATTGCTTCCAGCGTGGCCCAGGTGGAGTCCACTCGCTCCAGGCAGCCCAGATCGTGCCCAACTTGGTCCAGCGAAGCCCAGACCAGTCCAGCCCGACCAGCTTGAGCCCAATGCACACCAGACCGGTCCAGGCGGTCCATGCAGCTCCAGATCGGCCCAGCAGCGTGGCAGAATGGTTCAACCCGGTTCAAGTGGATCCAGAAACCCCGGTTCGAGTCCAAGATGGTTACAGAGCGGTCCGAGAAGTCCGATTCACCTACCGAAGGTCCGAGATGATCCGATGAGCTTGATGAGCGATTCGAGCACCATGGTGACTCGATTAGAATCGAGAAAGACCAAGTCTAGCCGCCCATTAGACTTTGGTGTTCAGACGATCTCCATCAACGGAAATCATAAACGTCTCAGAGTCGGCAAAAATTTTAAAACCGTAAGTCCTAATCCTAACTATAGATTCCGCTGCGTTAGGATTTATTATTCAATAGATTTGAACGTGCACATTGTCGACGTTCCTAATAGAACCCAACACCCGGGAGCAAGCACCACCGCACCTCAGCCTTTCCGAGCGAGTTCTCTCAAGGCTTAGCAACATCTAAGTATTTCTTAGATTTTTCTAAGTATTTTTGGGTTCATTTAGCTCAGCCATTTCAGCCCTTAACACCACCGAGCAAGATAAGGCCGCGAGTGACCCAAGCAAAGTCCTAGTAGCCATTCTCCTCTTTCGGTGAAGGTTAGCCCGAGCCATCTTTTATCTATGGCTATTTTGTGATATTTTAAGATTTATTATGTAGAGAAATCATGTTTTGCTCGGGTAGAATATGAGTTTCGGATTTTTAAAGCTT